TGGTCGATATTAACCAACGTTTCAGAGGTCATACTGCCTCCATCATCAGGGCGATGAGTATGAAGATTTCTGTCTTCTGGGTTGTTGCGCTGTGTAGTCTGGTCGATGTTTACCAACGTTTCGGAGGTCATACTGCCTCCGTCATCAGGGCAGAAGACAGAAATCTTCATAAATACTTTTCATTATTAAATTTTTTTGAGAAATAACTCGAGGTTGAAATATACCATTGAGAAGAGAAAACATTTGTGTGCTATTCATCCAATTCGAGTGGTCTTACAGCGGTCTACTAGCTAGGTCAAAAGCATTCGCCAATAATATATTATTGTGTGTATTTCTGATTTTTTTTGTATTGCATTTGTGTTGGTTATGATTGATTCCGGAAGAAAGCAGTTACCATCTCACCGAAATCTTTTCCAGTTTACTTTAACACTAGTTGTGAACGATAGAACTATACTGTATTTAAGATAGCAGAAAATCCTGTTATACTTGAGCTCTTTACCAATACTGACAGAACTAAGAGCTGTCTTCTCGGATGTTGCCCCATGTAGTCTGATAGATAACGACTGACGTTCAAAGGAGCTCACCCTAATGACGAGGCGGTGAGGTCGACTGATATTTAGGTCACTATCTATAAGACTACGCCGAACAACAAACCAGGAAAGAGACATATTAATATTTGTATTCCCTCGAAATGAGTCGTATATATTCCGGAATGTATTTAAAACTGCTTTCGTGCACCTCACTGCTGCCTTCACTTTCGGTATTCGGAATTTATGAAAAGGAGAAACGTGTTAAAACTTAATGTATTGTGAGTCACCTTGTAGGACTATGCTCTGATATTCAAAAATAATGCTTTCGATTGATAAAACGACGTATAGAATAAAGAAAATATGGCAGAGATGCTGTTTTCTTTGTTAAAATTGCTAAGGAAACTTCTTTCGACGTGAAATCGATATTGAACCGTCTCGAATGTGGTCACTGTCACCGTCGCTTTTGGAGCAGACGCGGAGAGGTGGCGCGCGACATCTCGATCCCTTCTTATCGATTCGCAGTCGGCTGGACCACGAGGTATGCTGTCTGACAGTGATTGCCGTACACACTACAGGTTTCCTTCGATGCTGTGCATGTCCAGCTCCACGGAGCAGGGTTTTTATTCATAAATATAATAGGTTTCATTACTAAGGTAATCCAGATATTCCGTCTTTCACGGAACGCCGAGATTTGTCGTGTTCACAGGAACTTGTTTTGAGGTAGTTGGATTCAGTCCACAATCTTATATAAAATTTCTTTAAAATCCATTTAATATTATTCTCCTCTCTATGTCTACGTCTCACTAGTTTCTTTCTGTCGTGTTTCTGACGACAATTTACTTATCCTCCCGTGCGTGCTACATGTTTCGCGTGTCGTTCTCCTCGATTTGATACCTCTAGTAGTGTTCTGATGAAGGCTTCTCATTCATTATGCATTTCCCTCAATCTCTTAGCCATAAAATGTGTTCTGTGCACACATTAATGTTGACAAGGCCTGTCTGAGGTATTTAATTTCAGCTTTAATTACAGCGTTATCATCATTGTGATAAACTCAAGCCGGCAGATGTAACCAAAAAATCTCTTTCCAAAATATATCTCCTAGTTGTATTTATCTGTATAATTATTAACCAATACTTTTCAACTGGTAATTTCATTTTCACTTCCTCTGTAAATATAGTTCATGTTTACGCTTATTATAATTGTAAAATATTTTAATTAAATCAGAGTTTGGGTAGTAATTGTACGTGATGAAATGTAGGCCTACTGAGAGTTTTTAAAAAGTGGAACATGGGTTCTTAAAAAGAAATTGTAACCCTAAGGCAAGTCAGACGAGGTTTGAATTCTTTTGTCGATGTGATGAAGATTGACAATTATAGAGTTCTGCGTTACGTGCTATAAAATAAGTGGACAACACTCATAAAGCCTGCATTTCTCATCGTCTTACAAATCTTGTGCCAATAATGTTACAAGGTCATGCAAGTTGTAATCGAAAAATGAACTGCAATATAACATGGTTTAGCGTGTGAACAGACGCGAGGAATTTGTGGGATTTTGGTTCCCACGGTGACGCCGTGCAATCCCGTAGACACCGGTCGAAGTTCTAGAGCTGCTTATTTCCTCCGTAAGCACCTTTAATAAGTCGGAACATTTTTACAATACTATTCGGCCCATCACCCCAGAATACAGGTGTTGGGAAGAACGTATTTTAAGTGCATATTTGACATTAGGTTTGATAAAACTTCAAAGCTTAACACAGTCACCGTGGTTTTAGTCGTGTTATATATCCTACCTACTGCTTTGGAATCTTTATAATAAACTCTCGTTATGAAAAATTATATTTAAAACTCAAAGCTAAATTTGTTGTCTATGTTAATATAAATTCGGGTTGAAAATCGTTGTGAAAATTGTTTACCTTTCTTCTGAACATCATTTAATCTCACATGAGCTGGTAACTTCCCAAAAATAATTCAAAATTTCTGGAGTACCACCACTGATATATTTGTATATATGAGTTACAAAGGATCGCTATCCAATAAATCATTGATAAATCGACTACCTGACCACAGTGCTCAACTGTTATCGATACATAACATTAAATCATTTGCCTTTAATTACAGTTACAATTTTGACTAATAAATAACCTTACTATAAATTGATAGATAACGTACCTATAAAAGGAAAGTTGGGAATCGGTTTCCAACGGTCATGTAAGTGTAATTAGTTACAGAGATACTTTCTCAGAATAACTTAAATATTCATAAAAAGGGTGAAAAATCCTGCATCTGTAACTACATGCTAATTTTATTATATTTTCCAAAATTCTTTGGAATGTTACTGGTCGTCATATGTGGCTACATCACGCGTGTGGTTTTCACAGTTATTAAATAATTGGGTAGTGGAGGTTAAGAGGATGGGCCAGCCTCTTTTGCATGACACTGTGCTCAAAGAATGCTAAATTGGATAACAACACCATCACATATGTGATGATCCTTGTGTATGGTAAAGGGACAAATGTTAGTCATGTGGGAATGATGTACATTGCTTTGGAATGTATTTATCTGCACTGTGTAATTTAATAAGACTCATATTTATAAACAATTAAAAATAATCGCCCTGATGACGGAGGCAGTATGACCTCCGAAACG